CACCTACCTCTTTGTCCTAGAAGTTCATCGTCAGTTTCATGACGTGTAGAGTGTCATGGGGGAACTGTGGTTCGGGCCTGTTTTTGTTGTGATTGTCGTGTACTGTCGGGATCCGTTGCTGGTTGCATCTACAATGTTGGTAGTTTATGTCCAATCGCGAGGAGTTGAAGGACAGGGAGCAAGGTGGGAGTGGAATGTAGTTCTTAGTGCGGTGTGGTTTGCGGCACGGTAGAGAAAAGAACAGAACAATTCCCAACTGAACGATGTCTCATTCCTCATGTGCTCAATCCTACCTGAGCCTCTTGGCGCATGGCGTCTTCGTCGGCAGGACAAAGCGCCACCACACGGTTAGTTTCCGACAGCTTCACCCATCGGCACAACTCCTCGCCTGCCTCGCAAGGCGATTGATTGATCTGTCTGGTGTTGCACCCTGTCAGTTCCTCTTTTCGCAACAACTATGGGGCCCCATTTTTAGTGGGTCCCTCTCTGTTGACGCAAGGTGCTTGTTCACAAGGGTTCCGAGACCACATTCGAACTGCTCGGGTTTGACTTCTCTGTAGGAATGCGCTTCATTCACCGCCCGTGAATTCTAGTGGATGGATTGTTGAACCCATAGCTGGGCGAAATGTACGGCAACTATCGTAACTCTGTTGCTTAACGACGCTGGCAGGGTCACACGGGTGTTCTTTCGGTCGATTACATGCGGGTGCCTTTAACAAGACTGATTGGTAGGCGTAGGCAGCGTTCCTCTCCTTAGGGTTGAATCCACACCGCCGGAAGCGCCGTTCCTAGGGAACGTCGCACTCACGACGGCTGTGTTCGAAATACGCAGTACTAATGCACTACAATGACAGTCACTCACAGATTCTGGACACCCTGAACACCGGTCGGTGCTTCGTCGGCAGTTCAACCAACCGCAAAACCGGCCGTTCAATCCGGCCCGTCGTCCGGAGTAACGGTTTTGACTAATCGATCAGAATGCTGGACACCTGAGTTGGTTTCAATCTATCTGGCGGTGAGGGTCGCCAACCTTCTCGGGCGAACTGACTTACCTTGTCGATGGTGGTTCGCACATTTACACATAGATTGGGGATTCCCTATTTTCATTTACCAGGAAACGCACGTATGGCAGAAGTTTCGTCGACATTACTTATTGAGTGCTCCGGTCCTCTTCAGCAACAACACTATTTATACTTCGGTACAGGTGAACGTCCTTGATAACGTCGGCCGCCGCCGAATGTGCTCCCAGGTATAATAATTACAGTCATCGTTCGCAACCCCTTCACCTTCACCTCTTCAGACTGCTGCTTCGTCGAGAACTAGCCCACCTGGCGTGAGTACAGCCTTGCGGCGCGGAAACGGAGCCAACCGTAGGACCTTGGGCGCCATCGGGTACGTAGCGGCCGATTGCCAGTCGTCAGACGCTACTCCCGAGGTCTGCAGATATAACGATTGGCAATAATAGCCACCCGTTTCGTACTTCCTCCCTGCCGCGGCAGTCCAATGAAGCACGTGTAGCGGGATGGCTCGGAAGACTTAATTGCGGCCGAGTTGATGATGATAGTTGACTACAATTGAAATACCTCTGATACGTCGGATACGTTCAGTTCTTTATATGATGCTCTCGTTTTTACTGTTGCAGCTCGACCCCAATCGCGGTGGCACCGGTAGGTAGCAATAATTCCGACCAGCAAGATGTAGGATCGAATTTAGTTCCCTCGGATCTCTTCATGTGGTTGTGTCCGCTGAATCTCGCCCATACATACAGATGGTTCGTCTTTGAGCTGCTCCTGAGGCGCCATGTCCTTCTATAGGCAGTCGCGACCGACGTCGACAACGTTAGCTGTACGACCGTAAAGCCGTCAGAATTGAGGTCCTTGTCACGGAGGGACGAATGAACAAAAGGAGCACCATGCCCAGTACATTTTCGACTCCGGTGGCCATCAATCCTTGCTGGAGCGACTTGTTGACGGACGCCTCGTTAGACGTCCTTCCTTCCAGGTCTAGAATTGGGTAAATCTTAGTACAACAACAGCTAACCTAACCGTTGTTCACTGCGATACTTTCTCGTGCCTTCCGTGGCGATGATGCATCAGTGTGGGCGATGGAATATCACCCCTCGCCGGACACTCAAGGCCATGCGGCCAGTGGTTTCGACCACCTCTGGGAACGAGAGTGAGTGCGAAAATGTCGTGCTGACCGATTGCTATGTAGAATCTACAACCCCTCAAGGTTACGAGATCATCCTCGAGTGAGTCTGGTGACGAAAGCGTACGCAGCTCCTTTCGGCTGAATTTGGGGTTTACGCGGCTTCGCGCCCACGTCCCTGACGCTCGTTGTCCTGCCTGAGGGTGCGTCCTTACCTTGGCAGGCACGGTAGGCACGGCCCTTAACCAAGTACGTTGCATTTCGCGTAGCAACAACGCCCCCTCCGGAGGGAAGCCCGCAATTGCTTTCCCCTGGCGAGCGAGCTCCGCCTTCTTCTGTTGCTGGTAACCCTCTCACACACAAGCGTCTTTCGACTGCTTCGAGCGCCCCGTCGACCTAATACTTTGCATCATTTCATCTGTAGCGCCGCCCCTAATACGAAGTAGTAACGTTCCGAAGTGATACGGTGGCGTCTGGACCGTGTGTCGCTGTTTGCCTCAAGCACGACTACAATGTGGGTCGTTCTGTTGCTGCAGATGGAGGACACCCTACGAGACACCGTGAAACTCGTGGCAGCGCAACGGCAGGACTCTTCGCTGCGGCCACTGCGGAGCGAGTTGGAAGCGGGACGAGGAGAGGGCAGAGAGTATGTCCTGGCAGACGACGACTTGCTCTGGCATGCACCGCGTGGCCGGGTATACGTGATTGCGGTACCCCGGCAAGTCGTGCCGGCGGTGTTAGCACTGATCCACGGCACATACGGCCACCCGGGGACCGCGCGTACGATGATGCTGATCGAGAGGGGTACCACTGCCCCACCCTCAAGAGAGACGTCCGCGCCTACGTCCTGTCCGGCAAATGCCGCCGGCGGAAACGGGCATAGAGCAAGCAGCTCGCCATGGTGCCGGCCTGACTCCTTCAGCCGTGGGAAGTTGTCGAGATTAACACCCAGGACACGAAGGTGTTATCCGACAACGGTAATCGGTACTTCCTCGTCCTCGTTGACAGAGCATCCAAGTTCCTCACCGCCTTCCCCCTGCTGTCGAAGGAAGCAGTCGGTGTCAGCCGCAAACGGCTGGGACTCCTCCTCACGTTCGGGCTGCCGCTCTCGATCCGATGCTACCTCGGAGGCGAGTTCACGGCGGGCGTGATGAAGCACCTTTGTCGCTGGCTCCGCGTATCGCTGAACTACGGCCGAACGAACCGCCCGTGGGCACAGGGAGCGGTCGAGAGGCTGGGAGGCTGGCTCCACGAGACCCTGACCCAGCTGTGCACTTCATGGCTCCAGCGCTGGGACGACTTCGTCCCTGTCGCCACCTGGATCCATCGGGTCACGCTAGACGTGTCTCTCCCTGGGGGGGCATCACCATACCGAGTACTCTTTGGTCGGACGTAGCGTAGCTACATCGACGCCATGGCCCAAGCCCTGGACAACAACTCCTTTGGCCAAGGACTTGAGGACGATTTCGGGCCAACAACGCATGACGTAAGAAATCCTCAAACGACGCCATCAAGCCCAAAACCGGCAACGGCCGCGCCGCAACGCCAGCATTGGCGCGGGAGTCGCCGGGTGCCAAAGGCCGTAGTCGGAAGGGCTCGTCTTAGTCAAGGGGGCGAGCAGCACTCTCCATCGCGACAGCAACCACCCGAAGCTGGCGCACGAGCACTACACCGGCCCGTGGAAGGTCACCCACGTCATCCGCGACCGCCTGAGCTTCAAGGTCCGACTGAACGGGCGACGGGTGCGCCAACGCCGAGTCGCGGCCGCCGATGTCAAGATGTACCATGCACGACCCCTCCACCTCCGGCTCCCGTTCGAGGACGAGTATGCACACCTCGTGTGGTCTGCCGACCTCGGCCTCGCCGACATCTCTCTCCCCACGGCCCCCCTGTACACGCTTTTGGACAGGAAGGTCGTGCACGGTACCGGCGGCACCTCGACATGGTCTTGGGAGTATCAGGGCCGCTTCCAAGACGGCAAGCTGTCGCCTTGGCTCACGGAAGACAAGACGAGCGACAGCTTCTCTCCCCTCCAACTCGACCTCTTTCACGCGGCGTATGAGGTCAATCATGGTGGGGATGCTACACCACGACCTGCCGGACCCACCTACCCCGGGGGCGCACGTGAAGTGGAGTCACGGGAACACGCCCTGCGGCTCTTCCCAGCGGACACGCAAGTGGGCCGCGAATTTGTCGACAGCGGGGGCCAACCCAAGGTTTTCAAGGCCACCGTCTTCGACGTTTGCGACCCCTTCTGGCGAGTGGAGTACCTCGACGGCGACCGGGAGGAACCCACGAAGCGAGAGATGGACGTTGGCGTGGGCGTGGCTGCCCACCCTTCTCTCTGCGTGAGTCGCAATTGACCCGTACGCCACTGCCTCGAGCCTGCTGACTGTCTGCCTGGCAGTCTGGGGGGGTGTCCTGGCAGTGGACGGCCATGCGGAATCTCACGCGGCCGGAATGATTTTCATCGCCGTCATCGTACCGATCGACGGAGAGTGGATGGGACCCACGATCGCCGTCTCATGGTCCACGACAGTCAAGATCACCTTCTCCCGGTCCAAGGTCGGGACTCCCTTCGCTAGCTTATGTCTTGGCGGACTAACTATTGTAAGAAGCGGGAGAACAACTGGGTCGGGGGGACCGGAATGCCCGTCCTTTTAGCATAGCCGTGTACCACGGTCGATGGTGGGGGGGTGTTACGGGCGGTCGTCCCCACCGGTTCTCGAAACACGATGATGGATACTTCGCATGGTCGCGGGTATCCGCAGGGCGCAGGCTGACATGGTCGGGAATCAGACAGACCAAGATGCCTCCCGACCCAGCCTGCTGGAGCGGCCAGCATCCATGGCGTCTGGCCCTGGAGGCAAACGCCTCTTCCTATGGCGTTTGTCCAGGTGTCACTCGATACCGCCAGGCGAAGCAAAGATCTTGAGCCATATCCCTTGCCTATTGCCACCCACTGTGAGTGGTGAACCTGATATGTTGACAATGGAGCTTGCTATGGATACTGGATGCGATATGGATGCCATGGGGGGGTCGGAATGGAGCTTTCGGGAAGTTGGAGCTGCTTGTTAGGATGTGTGATACGTTCGATTGCTTACAAAATGCCGACTCTGAAGATATAGGTTGACTATGTCGGCACAGGTGAGACGTATCTTGCCCGATGGGATATTGCCCAACCTTACGTCTGTTTCGATGGGACCGACTTATAGCACAGGACAGCATCCGGTTGCTGACCCCTCTCTTGTGGTGTGAATAATCTATCTACACGAGGGCCGGGAACCGACGAACGGCGAGAACGATGTTTGGATCCGACTGTCTTTGCAGGAGGGATGCCACCTTTTCTTCGCCTCTATCTGCGTCCTTCTTCTTGTTGTCGAACGTTTGACGCCCCACCAAGATCATCCATCCATCCCATCAACTTCAAACTACACATGTATCCATACTCACCTTCCGTGTTGTTTGCGTGTGTTTGCATGTACGAATGGATCATCCATGCGTGTATGCGTACGTAAGGACGACAACATTAGCTACTTTCGATCTTCACGGCCGGCCCTGGCTGGACGTCAGACGTTATCACTGAGTTACGTGTCGTCGAGAGCGAATACCACAACGACGATTACTGGTATTTTCATGGGAACTGTCCGCAACACTTGGGCTCGTAGTTCCGTGCTTTCCGTCTAGACTATAGTTTTTCCTGCCTGGTAATGTACCCACCGTCGCGTTTCGCCCATGATGGCTTACCCCCGGGCGGCGGAACAAGCGGGCGCTTCCAAGCCTCCCCCGTGGCATGATATGGAGGAAAGACGGGGAAAAGGCGTCTGTTCTTGATGTTCAGGGTTGTCATCTTGGCGGCAGGTCTGCCACATTCGACTTCGATTGTCTTGCTCGAGCCTGATTGGTTGTTCTACCTAGCTAAAACGTCCCCCGGTGGTTTGGAGTTGGCATCACCACCGCCGTGAATCATTCCCAAGTCCACATAGCTCGGTATTTTGAGCCGGCTTCCGATTCCTCGATCAAGCACCACTATAGATAGTTTGGACACGAAATGCTTTGAATGGGCGCACGAATGACCATTTTCCCCATTTTGACATTCTATTGTCGTTTCCCTAAATCGTGGTCGGTTCACCGCGATGCCATCCCTGTCACCGACCGCGTTTCTTTGTCGCGCCGTCTGGGCGCTCGAGGGAAAGGCAACAGAATACTAAGACGATTCTCTGCTGTCCCTAGATGGGTTTTGCAAAACGCTGTCAACGAAGGCATTAAGCATCTCGATGGCAGAACATCACAAAGCTTGGATGCCTCCCAGACGGGCTCGTGACCTTTCCACCTCCTATACGGTGATGCCAGACGGTGATGCCAGTCCTAGTGGGAATGTGGAACCCTTGGATGTTGAAGCGAGCGATTCCGGTCGTCTTCCGTTTGGCCCTAAATTCACCTGTAGCCATCAACTACGCAGCGCGGGATTACAACTCCCACATTCTTACCAAACCTAAGAGACCGTCTTAGACGTAGGGTTTTACACGCCACCAAGCACACAGCCCCGGATGGACGTTTTCAGTGCGCCCCTGTGCTCTGCTACCACAATCACCTGTCGGAACCACACCATGTAGAAGCAAGCACAATTGGCAACGTTTTGGAACACCAAACAGAATAAACGCCGTACGGTACGCTAACCTAACTTATTGCACGAAACCACTGACAATGCTCTACTGCTGGAGGTCACGAAATAAAGATCTCATGGAGGTCTTACCTCGAAACGAAGTCTCAACTAACCTATAAAGACGAAACTACACTTCAACAAAACTAACAACAATTCGCCTTGATAAACTGACAAACGTTTGGTTTGGTCTGGGACCCCATAATCCTCCGGAAAACCACCTCACCCAACCCATCAATACACCGCGGACATAAACTCCCGACAGAACATTGACAAGACATCGTTGACGAACCGATCGTGCACGCCTCGCCTCAACTAACGTTT